TAGAGATGCATCGACGCATGGTACGTTTTGTTCGCGGTTCAGAACAGCTAGTGTGGGAGGAAACGTGGTAACATCTTTGAAAGGCAAGTGGCATGCTGAATCCCCAAGACCTGTAGAACTAATACGCATAGCTGAACAGAGTTCGCTGCCTCTGAGAACGCCAGAGTGGCATCTTTTCTAAGGAGGGTACCCTTGTAGCGCCCCACCAAGCTGCAACATACCGAGCTCGACGCCCACGCGCCCGCCCGCCCACAAATGACTGGCCCATGGTCATGCTCCTACTGCTTCATTTGCGAAGAACAATATAAAGCGAAGGAACTTACGATATGAAGCGGCTGCAGTGCTGCACGTATATATGAGTACATACATGCACCTGCATCTACGGCGGTTGTTGGCACTATGCCAACGGGAAACTCGTACGAAATGCCTTTTTGAGTCGTGTAGATCAGAGGCTATTTTTGCAGGTTTTGACGGTTTTACTTTGTTTTTTCGCCTACTATTTAGCAAAACTGCTACCATTTTACACAGAGTACCAAATTATTGTGCCTTCAAAGCACGCAACGCACTTAACCCCCCACTTCGTGATGAAAGTTGTCAACTTGAGGCGGAGCTTTCAATTTCTTGAACGCAATTCCTTGTAACGGATGTGGTAACTCATAAAGGTGTAACTCTTTTATTATTTGAGCATGTACACAGTGTTGCCATTTTTGGATGACGGTAAAGTTCATATCGCCACAATTAGCCTGGATGGTATCCAAAGCCTTTTCTACTTTTCTTCTCTCGCAGCCTTTTCTACTAACGGCTATTTTGTTCGTGAATCGATCCCTACCCGATCACTATTAATGGAGCAAGGCAGCCGGAGGCGGGTTCTTGCTCCTTTCCTGGCACCGAACTGACTGATCGCGACAACTGTCAACTACACTCCTTATCCCTGAGCTAGAGTAGGCGTGGCATTTGTATATGGCACGGAATTCGTTACTCGTGGAATATTCCAGTCTGGAACACTGTCATCTTGTTCTGTGTTGTACAGAGACACGACAACACTTGTGTTAAGATGGAAATATTCCAGCAGAGACTTAGACACCTTCAGGTCAGGTTGAAGAATGCAGCCACGCCTACTCGATCTCACGGATTTCGAGTACACATATAGGTTCGCCCAAAAAGGAAGACGCTTTTTGAAAGGGCATAAAGAGAAAAAACAATGGAACGTTTTGAGGGTGTGAACCTTCGCACAGACTGGAACGAATTCGGGGTATGATAGCTGCAACGTTGATTGAAGTCAAATGTTCCCAGAAGACCCGATTTGCGATAGGAAGTGTAGGCAGGAGAATACGCATCAGAAGACTCGTCATATACAGATCCCAAAGGGGAATTTAGAAATGCCTTCAATAGGGCTTCTCTATTCTCGCGCCAATGTGCGGTTTCAAGGAGAAAGACTGGGTGTTGGAATGAGTGCAGCAAGCTGTACCCTTATAATCAACCCCACCCACAAGCAGCAATCGAGCTTCTATTATGTTGGCCAATAAGTAATTGGGTTTCTTTTTTATACAAATTTATATTTGGAGCAAAAAATTTCCAATGTGTTTTAAACTGACCGTTTCACTGTGTGGTTGCCGTCCTACTATTTCTAAATTTCTTTCGATTTTTATTTTATTGAAATGTGCTGTAGGGTCAGTAGAAATGTGAGGGTTTTCACAGCGACTTTCTGCACTTTGTCTCGGCTCTCAGATTACAGAAGAAGCTCAAAAACTGTGGTGTATATGAACGAGGGAAGATCCTTTTCGTGATAGCTTGAAGTTGGTCAGCAACCACGAGATGGGAATTCGGACCTTCTGAATGTGCACGCATGGAGGTCCTCTTGAGGAGCGACTGCAGGCGGAACCCACCCACTAGCAAGTTTGACATTAACTGAAGTTGATGCTGATCATAATAACGATGCATACCGTGACCAAACGATCCCCATTCCCAGGCCTAAATATCCATGATTCAGTAAGCTCTCAGTGAGAGTCAGTAGGGCTTTAGGTTCGATGCTTGTCTGTGAGTTGGAAATTGAAAACGTTGAATCACTTGAACTCTTACAAGCATTTCCATGGCTTCTAAGCCATGTAGCAGTTTGGCCTGGGGTTTCAGCTCTCCGATGAGAAATAAAAAGAGAGGCTGTCGAGAATGCTCAATTTCGTCGACATGACACTCCAGGTTGAACACTTAATTATTAGTGGAAGCAAAAACTTCAAAAAAAAACTAAGAGCACTGTTGTATAGGGCGAGAAATTCTCCCCAAAACAGTTTGTAAATTAATGGTGAAACTTCTCATCATTAGCGCGATATTTTGACTGAGAAAAAAAAGAACGCTATTATTTATGGACCAACCCAACACATCATAAAGCTGGTCCACTTGCACTGTTTTTTGTTGGAAGGAGGATTTCGAAGGCTACGTGGAAACTCTAAAAAAGAAGGTGTCAGGGAGACCTCCGCGCTTAGCGCTTAGCGCTTTTACCATACAACTTTCAGCCGCGAACTAGTATAAGGTTGTTCACTGCGGACCACCCTACCTTTCACAAACAATCTTTTACATTTTCATAGGTGATCGCGGACCGTTCTTTTATTGCTGGTGAACTGTCCCTCGTGCTGAGCACGGGGTTGAGTACAACAAAGCTTGGCTACATGTGAAATATTATAAAGCCAATTGTAGAAATTAAAGTATAAACCACCGGTTCCTGAAAAAATTTAAAGCTAATGGTCTCCCTCTAGCGATGTGGTGAGCGCAGAAGGATGATTTATATTTCACGACATAAGATCAGGAAAACCAACAGCCCATTTATTAATATTCCTGCTCTGGGGACGATGGAAGAAATTTCGTAGGTCATTTAGCATGACTAGGGACTGTAGTACAGTAAATAAATGTAAATGTGACAGAAGAAAGAGAACGTTAATGAGTGGGCGGGAGCCTGCATAAACGAAAGGTGCTGAGAAATAAAAAAAATAGCAAGACTTAAACATCGTCACCCCACAAGACATGCAGCTGATATCGCCATCAAACGGGCGGTTTCAACAGGGGTTATGATGAGCCCACCCGCTGTCATGAACCCTCAATCCCCCTCCTCCGATCGACTGCAGTTTTTCGGAGAAGAAAAGAAACGTACAGGAAAACGGGAGGTAGGATGGGAAATGGGAAAGGGAGGGTCGTAGACGATGAGGAACTTTTCAGTAAGGAGAGACTTCAGGGAGTTCAGGTTCTGAAGGAAATTTTCCCAAAGGGAGGACGTGCCCTGGCTCCATTTTCCTGAGATGCCGTAGGCGTGGCAGCGTACCTCTGAGGTTAGAGGCGGCTGTGCTTCCAGAGAAATATTTCTATTTTGTCACAATTCTATTGCAATGATGTCCTTATCTATGTACCAGAAGACAAGATAGGAGTTGTCCCAAAGTGTAGCACCCGCGAATAACCAACCATTCTCCTCCATGTTTGAACGATGTACCAGCCCTCTCCCTGATGAAAGGTGGACCTCTTGGTTTCCTCCCTTGATATGATCGAGCTGTGGAAGCGGAGAATTGGGGACGAGCAGCGGGGGATTGTAACACATGTGAAACAGGAAAAATGGCGAAAAGTCAACATCTGGGAAAAATTTTTCCCAATGCAACCAATTTCTCTCAGGAGACAAATACGACCCCTCCCCCCTCCCAAAACGTCAAACGGGACCCTCTTCCTCATAGCGCCCGTGAAACAAGAAAAACCGACTATCGAAAAAACTTTCTCAGACCAAGAACATCTCCCTGCCTCCAGCTACGAAATAGCATCCCCTCTTGGGAATCCCCCACGATGATTTACTGGACCGCAAAAGACAGCAACAACAGAGAGACATTTAAAAAGCTTTATTATAAAGTATAACTGACACAATGTGGCAAGAGCGACGAATTATTAAGTAGGTACTTAAAGTAGGAACATGACAACATGCGAGTAGCGATGACGTCCGAAGTCGTATGTAGATGTGAGACGAAAGTATTTGAAAGTGGGGGTGGATGTTTGGAAGAATGATGTGGGATGAACACGCGAGGTTTTGATGGCGGGGATAATAGATAAAGGTGAAGGAGGAGGAGGAAGAGGAGGAGGAGAACTGAGATCGGTCGACCTCATCTGTACCTCTTGTGTAGGTATGATACCAAGCGGCAATAGCTCTCGGTGTGTGACAAAAAGCTTTCGTACCTCAAACAGTAAACTAACATGACTATATACAACATAATGTAATTGTAAGAAAGATGATGAGAAGGAAAAAGAAAGAAGAAAGGAAGGAAGAATGAAGAAAAACGCTACTCGACGACACTAATCCGGAAGACAAAGCAAAGAAAAACGAGGAAAAAAAACACACACACATACAATGAAGGGGAAAACTATTCACACATAACAACATCTTCGATTTGAAAGCAATCTATAAAGTATTTGTCACAATTTGAAAAGCATAAGTGAAACAATTGAGGACCATCATTAAAACTCTTCAACTCAATAAAGTGGCTCGAGAACAGCGTATACGGCTGGCACTCTCTACGACATGTGCCAAAACAAGGCGTCTGATGAAAGGAACGTGAAGGAAGAATGGAGTGGAGGGGGATGAGAAGTGAGAAGTGCGAAACGATGACACGGGAGCGAAAAAATGTGATTTGACACTCATGAACGAGTGAAGATGGGGCGGGGGGATAAATAAAAACGGTCGTTCCGTCAACAGAAAAATAATGGGTACTATCTAGACTAGAGCCATTACGCGGCGAGAAGGCACTCCCACAACACGGATTAAGAATTATTTGACCCGAACAAGTTACGAGGGTACGTTCGTACACACAGAAAGCGATAGCAGGAGAAAATGTGAGCGATGAATGAATGAAATGAATATGAATAAACGATGAATGGATGAATGAACAACAACATGGACAAATGGGATGATCGTATAAGGAACATATTGATGATCATCATTATCATCCAAAGAATTATTCCCAAATTCATTACGTAAATCATGCAAACAATTTCTCCAACTTTTCAACCATGCCGGTCTGCATACGTTTGCATTTGGCGCGGCGATTTTTGAACCAAATCTGAAACACACATGGGCGTTCTTCAACGATTTTTAGACGACCTTCCCCATTGATTAGTAAATAGTTTACCTTGACATTATGCTGACTGATATGCGGATAGTTCTCTCTATACGGGCATCCATTCAACATTTGTGTATATTGATCAATTTGCATCCACGTTGGATGTGGATTTTCCTCGAACCATTTCTCTAGTATAGGCAACTCCGTCAACGGATCGAACATCAGCCGTGAACGGGCTGCTGAAAATACCGTGTATTTAGTTTTTTTCTCGCGAGAAATTAGAAGAAAAAGGCTCGACTCGGCTTGGGACGGGCATTCTGCACTTCTGCTGGTTACTTTGTTATTTGATAACTAAAGGTCACATATCGGTGAGACTTGTAATCCCGTGAAGCAAATAAGGAGCAGGGCACGTCTTGCCGCTGGGAGAGGAAATTTTCGAAAAATACGACCCCCTCTCCTTCTCCTTCTACAAACAATTTACGATCTTGGCATGCCAACAACTTTTACCTTTTAAGAAGTTCCAGTTTTTCCCCAAAATTTTGTCGTCGAGGGGGCAAGGGGGGGTCATATAGCACTGGACGGGAAATTCCATGAAAGGTCAACAACCGGAAAAAATTAGTCGCAACGCGACAAATATCTTTCGAAGGCAAACAAGCCCCCCCCCCCACCTCTCTCCAAGCGACGACCAAATATGGCCCCTTTCACCCCATCGCTCCATCGACCAAATACGCCTCCTCCCCCCCCCCCTACCGGTGGAGATTACTCAACGTAGGACGTGCCCAGGGCCACTTTGGCCACAGGAATTCACAGGTCGACATGATGCCTCAGAGTAATTTTAACTAGGAATGGTCCCAGGTCGAAGTGGTCTTTTCTAAGGAGACAAAGATCACGGGGCTTGTTTTTGATTTCAGTACCTGCGAAGTTTGCCACGCTTCCAAGTTTGCTAGGTGACAAAGCGCCTAAGTGCAGTAGTAACTGCACGCAAACTCTTTTTCATGCAAGTTTAGGCGAGCAGTGATGTAGTGATGACGCTACAATCACATTTGCCATGTAACTGCAAAAAGCAAAAAAGTAAGCCCAGCAGAGATTCGATCCCATGACCTGTAAATTGCTAGACGCGTAAGCAAAAGCTCCAGCACTCCACTGATCACTCTGCAGATTGCGAAAGTGCAGTTTGAAATCAGCATTTAAAAACACGTCTCGTGAGCATGTCTCATTTCAAATGGCCACTTCGACCTGGGGACCATCCCTAGTAAGTACCATTTAGCGCCCCCACTGAGCCGAACTGTGCCGAAAAAAAAACGTTTCTATCAGAGAAATTATGCACCGTCCACACCTTGAGATCCAATTCCTATTCCACTTAAATTGTTCCCCATTGAGAGATCATTTGGAATATGTTTCGGAGATGAACTAGCGATTGAATTAATCACAGATAAATCCGGTGATGAAGCGGTTGATTCCTGAAAAGAAAAGGGGGCTGTTATTTTGAAATTTCGCAAAGAGAGTTCAAGAAAAAATACGCTTTTGCTGATGATATCAGGATGCCCTTGACTTCGTACTCGTTTTTTTTACTTTATTAATGAATTGAGGTGTTTTCTGCATATAAATTGCCGTTACGTTACTTCGACCAACCCGAAAATCAATTGAAGGGTTAGGAACGAACTGAAAGAAAATGCATGACTCATTTGGGATGGGCACCACTTCGGCTCTTTGAAACACACTCCCCGCCCTTGAATTTGAATGGGCTACTCGTTCGGGACTTCGTGGCATACATGGTGTGTCATACAACTTTCTCTCGGCGCAGTTTGACGACTGGAAGGGGGGGGGGCATTTTGCACTTTCGTTGCTTCACTGGTTCCTGTTCACTCTGGTGAAACCTGTGAACTCTTGTGGAGCTGGAGCGAGCTCGTCAAGCCATCATGGAACCTGTTAACTCGAGAAGAGGCTGTCCAGATGGGTCGACACCTCGGTGGGAAGTATGAAAACTACAACATGTCCCCCCCCCCTCGTGAAAATGCGCCTTTCTCTCTGTGCTGTTTGGTATGGTCTTTTTGACATCCATTCCATGTTCTCAAACTATCGGAATACGTTTTTGTGCACGGAATAGTGTGGAAAAAACAGATGACTATCGATTTTTTTTCATTGATTTTTTACAGGCTATCGATTAAAAAAGTGATGAAATGATGCAGTGGTGCTTGCAGAATAGTGGTCCGCAATGTTTTAACCCCGAGATAGCCCAAAAGCGTCCACCATTATCCTCAATGGATGTGGATCTTTCACAGAAATCCTTGCACCCGCAGTAGTAATCCCATTAGGAAATTGAAGCGTGATACGGGCAGCCGCTCTAACCGCCCCATAGAGATTCTGAACGTGGTCCCTCTTCGAACTCAATCCATCTTCAAATACCGAACAGCGTACTGTAGCATTCAAATGAGCCGAGGCGGCCGACAACGGTTCATAGCAGCTTCTCTCGGGTGTGCTGTGAATCAAAAAAGACTCGGCTCGTCAGGCATGGCGGCATCGATCTCTATGATGAAGCGCATTGAAAACGAATGAATTCGGGAGTGTGATGCTAATGGTCCCACCTTGTGAGGCTATCGCTGGTTGGGTCACCAGGCGTTGACAATTTTGTTCGTTTCGCTTCACTGGCATTTATCTTGAAATCCGCGAACGTCACAAGGTCATATCGCCAACCCCCAACCAACACCTCAGTAGATAACATCTAGCCATTTCGAATAAGCCGCTGCGCTAAGGTCGGACTGTTAGGCGTGGGGAGGGTGAAAAAGGGTTTAGACGAACAATTCGCGCCATCGGACTCAATTGAACCGCGTCAGTTCTCGGGCACATTGTCTGCGCTCTCTGACAATGTAGACCCTCACCCTCACGAGGGTATTTGTGTGATTGAGAAGTTCGAGAGGTTAGAGGAATGAGAATGAGAGGTTTCTGAGTAGTAGAGATTACCAAATAAAGGGAAACCACCTACCTCACCGACCTGTTTTATGTGAGGGAATGTGGACATTTCCGCTCCGTCACTATTACTATGCAGTTCGTCGTCATTTGGTGTCGGCGAATCCGAACCACCATCAATGCGACTCTCCTAAACCCAAACCATATCAACAGAATGTAACGATAAAATTTGAAATATTACGATTTTTACAGTATTAAAGGTGACGTACATCCCCATTAGTGCTCTTTTGACAGCTCTCGATGATGTTGTTGAAGTCGAACTTGGGCCGAAAATCGGGCAACATTGTCGGAATGCTGGGAACCTGAGTGGATTTGAATTAGATGCGAGTCTTCAGGAGTGAGAGAGAGAGAGCAAGCGAGAGAGAGAAAGAGAATGTGAAAGTCTGAAAAAGAAACGATCATCATCATTCTTAGTACTTCACCGACCTGCTGATTAACTTGTGTATGAGCGGCGGCTAACGCTGGTCGACGTGACGATGCTCGTTGGTTAGCAAACCAGTTACAGATCTGAACAATGTAATGCTAAACAAAAATAAAAATCATGGATTCTCACAGGACAACAAACAGTCAAAGCGATTGTTGGCTGAGACCGCGGGTCCAAAAAAGGATTCATGATGAGCAATCAAAAAGTGAATAGATCTTTGCAGATAAGTGTCGACCCTGAATCACCATTGGAATCACCGAACCCAACTAGGGTTAACGTTCTTCGTTCCAACCTATCCTATGACCAAGGCAGGTGAGGGGGGGCTAAATCTACGCCACTCAAATACGTGATGAGTTTGACCCGGTACTGGCAGTGCTGCGCTCTGGATGTACCAGAATTGCTACTTGTCTTTCTCAAAGTGAATGGATTCCCTGGAGGACCTTACGGAACATGGGAAGGACCCCTTTACTCATTAATAATAGGTCAAGGATAATTCAGTCCCGTAGCATTAGACCTTTCCCGAAAGGGTCAGTGGATCCCAAACTTGGCTTAACTGGGCGAACCCTTTTCAGAGATAAAAACATTTAAATACTTATCAACCTGTTGATAACTGATTTTCTGATGGTTCCGACGATAACTGCTCCCATTGAGAATGTTCATATAGTTGAGTAACTTTTGACGGCTTGGACTTGAGTCAGTCTTAAACCATTTCTCAAGCTTCGGCACTTCGAACAACTGGTTGAATCGAGTCTGCGCGATCGGACTGAAATTCAACGATATTTAGCGGCGACACATTTGCAGTACCGGTAATTGAAATCTAAATGACAAAAGACCCGGTTTTCATTTGCGGTCTGAAATGCATAGAACATTCCAGTCACACTCAAAATCTTAAGGGTAAAATGGTAAAGGATAAAGTCTTCGCCGTCAATCAAGCCCTCTCGGACATGTCACGCATTCTACTTCCATCAAACACGTCGTACATTGTGAACCCCCCCCCACCGGGAGGGGGGTCGTATATAGTCGCGGGAGTTTCGCAGCTGACTAAGAGAGAAATTTGCTGCGTTGGAGGAAGATTTTCGTCGCTGTTGATTGCCCCTCCCCCTGCTTGACAGCAAAACTGGGGAAAAAAAAACTAGAAAATTTCCGGAAAATCCTGGAAAATCTCGAATAAGTGGTATGAAGTTGGGCAAATCTAGGAAAGTTGTCGATAATATGGGGAGGGGGAGGTCGTATCAGAGCAGAACAACAGAGGATCGTATTTCCCGAAAAATCTCTAGGGGCAGGACGTTCCCTGACTTCCACATCCAGCTTATGAAATGCTGTGTGGCCTATAAAGACTTGCGGGGCCAGCACATGTACACATCAGTGTTCCTGTTCCCCTAAACGAATCTGGTACCAACGTAGTGTTCCCGGAGGGAAGAATTCTTGGTGGCCTAGGTGGGAGCTGTTCCTACTCAAAAATCTTAGTGTCTTCTAATACCTATTCGGCCTAAGAAGGAGTGCTCTTGGTTGGAGAATCCTCGAAAGGGGGTAAGGGGTAGTATTTGCTCGTTGTTGGGAGAGGAGGGGGTCGTATTTCACTTCTTGCCTGCTGGTGGAAGAGATTGGAGAGGTTGACTTTTCGTGGTTTTCCCTGTTTCATGTGTGGTTATACTTTCACTTGACAGCGAAACTTTTGGATAAACGTAAGAAAGTATCCGGGAACTTCTGAAAAAAAGTGGTAGGAAGTGGTCGTACATATCAAGGCACTTCCTAAAGGGAAGGGGGGGGGGGTCGACTCGATAAAAATTCCCAAACAATGATGTGCCCTGCCAAGAAATGTCTCACGGGTGTCAGGTGGTGTACAAATCATCTTTTCGTTTCGATAGCTATGAAAATCTGCCACCAATCACTTGGCTCCAGGACGGGAAGGCTCAACTGATCAAGGAATTTCCGACTAAGGATTAGACCCGCAAGCCATGGAGATGGTAGAGACTCCAATTGTCCCTATTCTACCTCCACCTATCTCTTTCAAGTTTTGATTTAAACAACAAATCTTCAATCCACTCTCACCGTATCCCTATAGACTTGATCGTATCAGGCGCCAAAAAGTTGCGTATGTGACACCAATGCCCTCCGAACCGCTGTGATCAGAGTACTTTGATCACAGCAGTTTAAAACGATCCGCAAGAATGTTTTATGTCATGTCGGTAATGAACGTTCGAGACTTTCTTGATTGACAGGATTGGGCAATGACTTGCCACGGGACGTGAACATCCCAGATTTAGAGCGATCGCCACATCAATGAAGTGTGTATGTTTACACAGACACAGCGAGAGGGGGGTGAAAGAGCCAATGCCAACTATTTCACCACTTTCGCTTCGATCCACCACGGCCCTTCCGCGCTCGGCATGGACGTTTCCCACAGCCATCGGTTCCGATGCTTTGTAATTCTCCATCGTACACAAAAAGGCGGGCAGAACTCGTGAATGAAAAATCAAAATGACGACCCGCCTAAGATATGTGGTAAGGCTGTCCCGAGCAGGGCAGGTCCTGCCGTTGAAAGAATTATTGTAAATATAACTCCCTTTCCCATCTCCCTCATTATCTACCACCCTCTGAGTCCTCCAACTTCCTAACGCTTTCAAGCAGAAGTTTTTTAAATGTTTGTCTTCACGTTCCTCCCAACCAAAACAGGGTGCTGTCGAGCGGGAGCGGGAAGAAGGGAAGGCACATAGCGCATGTAAAACGGGAAATACCGTGAATAGTAAACAACGCCAAAAAAATTCTTCTAAGTGGCAAGTATGAGCTTCTTCCCTCCAGCAACTAAATGCGACACCCTCGCTGGGAATGTCCAAGGTTCGACGTCACCTGATAAGGTTGCCCCAAGTGTGAACGAGACCTGAGCAGGGTAGGCTCAGCATTTAGAAATATTTTCAGAATACGTCCCTCCCCCTTTGAACTTTCCTTCTTCGTTATGACCCTACTTCCTCATCCTCTTTGTTGCCTACCACTTGTCTTACCTTCTCCACTTCCTGCCACTTTTCCCAGATTTTTTCCGAGAATTCCTCCGGACTTTCATTTACTCCAAAACGACGCTCGAGGGAAAGGGGAATCGGGCTATATAGCGCACATGGAACAGGAAAAACTAAGCTAAGTCAACAACCAAAATCATTTTTTCTTGAAAGCAATGCGAACTCCCCTGCGACCAAACACGACCCCCTCCCTCAGTTGTCCGAATACGACCCCTTCGCTTGGGTTACCTGATAACTCGCAAGTGTGAACGGACCTAAGCAGGGCATACCCTGCTGTTGGGAGACAATGCGACCCCTCCCCCTCCCCCTCAAGATTTCGTCCTCTGATTCAGCCCCCTTCCCCATCGCCCAAATTATGTACCAAATTCCTGAGTTTCCCCAACTTCCTTCCAATTTTCTCCCAAAAAAAACTGCTGTTGAGCGAGGATGGGTATCGCAGTTGAAACAAAAAAAAACAGGTCAATAACCAAGAACATTTTCCTCAGAGGTGGGTATAACCCCCCCCCCTCAGGATTTCCTTCTCTGGTAAGACCTTCCTTTGTCATCCGCCGTGCTATGTACCCAGAAAGCTACTACTGAGGTGGAGGGAAGGGGGCTGTATAGATCACTTGGATCACGAAAAAATGAGAAATCAGCAACCGAAAATATTTCTTTCAAAGGCAAGCGCAACCTCCCCCTCCCTCCACGAGTATGAACCCCTCGTTGGGGATCCCTCCCGAGTGTGAAAGACCAAAACACGGCACGCTCTGCCGTTGGGGGAGGGGAGGGGGGGGGGGGAGGGGGAATCTTGGCAAAATGCAGCCCCTCAAAATTTCCTCTTCTGCTGCGACCTCCCTTCTCCATCTCACCTCCACCCGTTTTCTTAGGTCCTCCCAACTTCCTAATAATCTTCTTCACTTTTTCTCCAACAAACCGCCGTAAGGCGAGTGCAAGCGGGCAAGCGGCTGCCTAGCGCACGTGAAACGAGAAAAAAACGAGAAAAGTAAGCTACCCAAAAAAACATCCCCCTCTGACGCAAGTACGACCTCCCCTTCCCTCCCTCCAGCAACCAAACATGACCCCCGCTGAGGATTCCCGACAAATCACGAGCCCCGATAAGATTGACCAGGGTGTAAACGACATTTAAGCAGGGCTATCCTTGGAAGGAAGATTTTCGCAAAATACGAATTCACCCTCGAAGTTCCCTCCTTTGACACGATCCCTTCCCCCACCCCTCTCTTCGTCGGCGCTCCCAACGTACGACGTGTCCTGGACCTAAGAGGGCTATGTTGATCCCTCATGTCTCGACATCGATTCAACGAACATGGATGATTTGCTGGTTAAAAACGCGTCATTCTCATATAAAGAGCTTCTCGAAGAAGAAATATGAGTCAGCTGTCTCATTCCAGCCACCTAATACAAAACACCCAAATCATTGATTGAGTCTGATGGGCGCCATCACATCGAAGACGCCTCCTCATCATCGCCTCAGCCCAGGGTAGAGTGAATTCATCCTCTAACACGTAAACGTCCCCCAATCCCTGTTTGAACATACTAAAACGAAGAAGTAACGGTGTTTACATGAGAAGGGTTATTTTCATGTGAAAATCTTTTTAAGCGTCTTCATCGTGACCTTTTGTCATACCCTTCGTTCGTCACAGTGCATCCCTCAATGTCAGATCGATAATTTATATGTATACACACAGAGACCCTCGTATGGAAGTGATCCTGGTGGCGGGTCGCGGCTTATCACAAACATTCACCCCCCAGTCCTACCCGTTGCCCGTATACGCGCCGCGCTACACAAAACAGTCAAATCCCGATCGATTGATGGACAATCGATGATATCAGAATGGGGTGGGGGGGGGGCGAGAAGTGTGAATGTATAGATGGGGATTGGTCGAAGAGGTGTGGTGGTGGTGGTAGTGTGGGAGTGAGATGTTGAATAAGCAGCCGCTTTCTTCTCTTCGACATTTCCATATGATATATGCAAATTGGATCCACCACAGTGGCACCACCACCACCACTGCCATTGACTGAACATGGCTAGCTCGGGGTGGTATTGTGATGATCGCCCCCGTGAACAAGATAATTGTTTGGATTCCGAAGATGCTTCGAAGGCGTGTCGCGACGAATTTTTGACATTCTGTTTACAGCGGCGGTGTAAGGGGACTTTCGATTTCAATCAATCGCTCTCACCCCAGTCGCTGTGGCTGTGGCTGTCTGACTCAAGTTATCGCCCCGCCATTGGGTTGGTTGGTTGGTAGGAAGGGGGAAAGGGTGAAAGGTAGGGGGAGCCGCATTACGCAAGAGATTCATACAAGGAACGAGTTTCCGGGGGCGAGATTTTCGCTTTCATGCACAGGTGTTTGACAGGCGCTCGATGAGAGAACACGTGCCAATGTACAGACGCAGAGACAAGGCGACGAGCCTCACCATCATCTCAACACAACTAAGGAGATGTGAACGGAGTGTGTGTGTGTTCGTTGCCCTCTTCCTCGTCAACCCCCCTCCCGTTCCCTTGCCTCTTCAACCGTTGAACGAACAACGACCCAAGACAGACAGCCTCATGCTGCCACGAACGAATGAACACGATCACCAACGCCACTTCAGCGCCAAGGGGCGCCCCGAGACCTGTTTCTCGATCATCAACCCGCTTATCTGACTCTAACTCTCGAAGACACAAAAGCAGTGTCAAGTGGAACCGTTTTGGACGCTGCTGCCATAGCCCTGTCGCAAAACAATCTAATTCACCTGAGTGTGCAAGACCTGACACGAGAAAACGAGTTCCTTTCACCAACCAACGTCTCTCGAGATCACTTAGCCTTGTATGGCAAGGCGCCAATTATCCAGCGTCGTTAGAAACATGCCACTACCACTACCATCACCACATTTCGTCCTAAATGCTACCAACTAAAAACAGATTCGCGGAAAACGCGTAGCCCGTGCAAACAACTCTCCTCCCGACTCGACTACTTCCCCTTTCATCCGCTCACTTTTCCTCGTCTGACTGGGGGCCCAGCGACGACAGCGAGACTAAGCAGCGAGGCATTGTACATTTGTCAGAGTGTGGCGAATTGACGCCCTCTAATCCAGGGGCGTTGCTGACTCTTCAGCCAATTTCCCCTATCCTAAGCGAGATAATCAGTCGTGTGATTGGCTGCCATTCGGATACGCCAGGAAATTGAGGGGACGTGCGAGCGCTACCGTATCGTAGTCATCGAGAGTTGATCCGCAGCAGGCCTCACTGCATCCCTCCGCTCTGGTCTATAGTCGCTTATTCGTCCCTTTTCAAAGTCAGGTGAAGGTAATGCTAGAGAAATGAGAGTATTCTACTGCTTCATTTCTAACATCGTGCTCATTGAACTATAACCGAGGGATGTATGAGGCTCGTGTGACAATATATACAAATACACAGCCAGCCTCGGCCAAAGGCTTAACTTCAGCGTCAAATAGTGGAATAGCTTTCGGGATCGAGGGAGAAAGTGAGCGAGCGCGCCTCTCCGACTCCCTCATCATAGAACTCTGTGCTATCCATGTGCTCTGTCACTTCACCGGCAGTCTGCGACCTCGCCAATCCCTCATTGCCTCATTGATGTTCTTGCCTCGCTCGTAAGCTTATCCGTCTTAAAACACAACAGACAGCCGCTCACAACTTGCCGGGATTACGGTAGACTAACAAGATTATCGTAATCCGCTCCAATGAGGGATATGGCGGCTCTCGAAGTTATTTGTTTTCCAGCTAGAAAGTATTTCGGCACAATCATCAGTTGAATAGCCCGATCGACTAACCTTCGTCGTTCATCGCCTTGATCGAGTGTTTCCAACCATTCGTTGATTGAGTTTATCTGCTCGTGGTTCAAGATAGCCGGATCGTCGCCGGCAATTACTTGATTGATAAGCTCCTACAAAGCAAATAATTCGCAAAGAGGGGAGAGAGAGAGAGAAGTAAAGAGAAAAGGTCAGAACAACAAGAAGATCGGAGTCGAATAAGACCGTGACCTTTATCTGTTGATTATCTACGCTGTTGAGAATCTGGGGATTCTTTGAGACAGCCGTCTTTAAAAGTCGCTGTTTGAGATCTGTTATACATTGTGTACTGGCTGAATCGGATGAAATCCTGAAATAACACCGCTTACATTTTATCCATATTAAATTAAATTCAAATTTGCATTGATCTGCCTTTTTTATTCTTCCATGGGATGCCTGGTATTGACACGCTTATCCCCATTTTGTTAGCTTTCTTCGCTATCATCAGGTAATAAAAGCCGTCGCCGTATTCCACGTAGAGCGTGTGCGTTCACTTGATCGAAGGATCGCAAATAATTACGTATTCAAATTCCGTGTTCTCGCCAGAAAATCCGCGAAACGCATGAAACGGAAACGATATAAAATCTATTGATCGTTGTGCCTCTTAGCTAAACTGTGTGAGGACTAAAGAAGCGTAGCTCGGGTGAAGCCGTCACGGTCCAATGCTAAGCAAGTCCCGGCCGTCGGATTACTGTAATCAGGTCGAACGGAGCGCAGATATTCAAACAACGACGAGCAGGAACCGTCAGTGGTGGTGGTGGGTCGTAGGTGAATATGCTCGGCTCGGCAAAGCTGGTTCGTACGCCCGGTCCGATGTGTTGGAATGTGTTACGATGGAGATCTCGGGGTGCAAACATCAAACGTGTGGGTACTGTTTGAGAAGTGGCGCGTTTGGCGCAATGAGTACGAGCTCGAGCAACGACTTGAAACACAAAAGGCATCAGGAATGGCGTCAACGCTCGCGCGTACACAAAAGGCGGATCGGATTGCGCTTGCGCTTACTACAACTCACTGCTGGTGGTGGGCGCTTCGCCAATATTCCGCAAGCTCACACAGACACACACACATACAGCGACGACATATGTTCAACAAGCGAAAAGTGAATGAATCGCGCAGCGAAACCCATCCATCTTCACTTCAGATCTTTTAAGCGTCAAAAGTTGTGGCAACAAGTAATCGTTTGGTAATAACAACGTACGGTTTTGTTAGAATCCGCAACGTAATATGGCCGGAAATGTCTTTAAACAGCGAATGGACCGTCTCGTCCGGATTATCTGTGATCTGCTCGAATGGAAGCGCCTTCCAGTTATTCACCTGCACCAGACCTGAAAAAAATGGAAGAATTTTTTAGTTCTGTGCTGCATTTTCAGTCCAGCAGGGATCAGTGGATGGTCTAGGGTCAGCGAATAGCCGAGTTGGGGAAACTAGCAGCCTTTAGGGCTTTATAATGAACATTTAGGTAACGTCTCCACTCTTGAACAATTTCCTCCAAGCAGTAGGGTTCCTGGGAGGCAGCCGCTGGGATGAGTGAACTGTGAGACCGAGTCAGTTTCCCAACAATACACAATGGATTTTGAATGTGATTGTGTCAGTGCGAGAAAGTTCGTTCGTCTTTTAGAATCGATTAGTAAAGTTACTATTGCGAAGAAGATTGTGATAGGATTAGAGGGGGGGGGGGGTAGATGACAGCCAATTAATCATTCGTGGTGTACATTTGTATGTGTATGTATATGTGATATAGTGCTTTGTTTGATCGTGTTTCAAAAGAATAAAGAGGAATGGTGGGGGGATGCTGCTTGTTGGTGCGCCTCCCCTTGTCGTTAAGCGAATAATCTCGATAACAGGTTCGAGTATGTAACACGGGGTCTAAAGAAAACGGCATGCGCGATCGCATCTCACTAGATTTTACAACGATTGCGCAACTGAAAGGGAAAGGCTCAAGCCATAACAGGTTCTCTCCTCGAAGGAGTCGATGGCAGCGAGGCGAAAACTCGCGCATGTACGCTCACATGCCGAATTAACGACACAAGGAGGGGGGATCCGACGATGGTGGTGGTGGTGGCGCTGACGACGACGTCATCGACCGCGCTCACATTGGCGATGTACTGATCGGAATAGGATTACTCTGCCGTCAGTGCGGTACTGTCAATATTCAAGAATATCGATGGGTAGAACCAAGTTTTCAAAGGGCACGATTTGGATGGCGGCACTTTGTGAGGAATGAACTCGCATGAAGATTGAGGATGAGGGAATAGAGCCGAGGGTTTTCGAGGGCGGAGGGAGGAATGCCATCTGGACGAAAGTCAAAAATAGTCGGACGACTGTGTGAGAGGGATACAGTGACTAAGACACGAACAATAACATAGACACACACATCACAGCACCCACCAACATTCGCCACATGACAGCGATGCGCCATTGACGCGCGCACGTTCCCCGCAAGTAACGGAATCGTGGTAAAGCACCAATAAAGCTCTAACTTGGGGCCATGTACATTTATCCAAAAAATAATTCAAAAAAGCGGTCTCTGGACCAGATTTGGAAGAGCCGTGAAGTCAATTTGACAGGGTGATAAATGAGCGAGAAAGTGAGTGAAAGATGAAGGAATAGTCACAAGCCACAGAATCAAAGATGATTACCTCGTGCATTGAGAGCAAGTTGTGGATGTCCGAGTGCTGAGAGAACTGTCTCAACTAATTGACTCAATACAGTAGTACCAGATACAATAGCATAGGTGTCAACCAGTATATGACCGTCGTGAGCGCATGAAAGGCAATGCTGCGCCCGAACTGTTTCCACCGCCACCCGTACGGGGAACATCTGTAACGGCGCGAAGATCTCAACAACCAATTCAGGAATGAATGAAAAACTTTCACACGTTAAAAAACAAAATTTCAAAAAAAGTACTTGACATTTGAAACAATAATCGCGATAAAAGAAGCAAAACTCGAAGGCATCCCCCCGAAAATGCCATAGCACCCGACGAGGCAGCCAAGCACGAAACGATGCCGTTGTGCGATCAAGAGATAAAGAAGTCAGAACAGCTTTCTCGAACCAAAAATAAAGAACATTGTAAAATATTAGAATTTGATGAAAATGTAATCAAATAACAGTAACATCATATGTGCGATGGTTAAGTCAGAACGTCGGTAAATGATAAACAGCGCTCAAAGTACTCAATCAGTAATAATCTAAGGATAACATGTATCAGTACAGTGTAATAGTCAATCAGTGAAAGTTGTAATGCTTAAATGAGTCAAATTGTTTTGGGGTTACTGTATTGACGAAAAGGTCATACGGGCTGGATCTTGGCAACCGACTGGCGCGGACCGGAGCGATTAGCCTAGCCTGAACCCCGCCCCCAATCGTCCCCGCCCTCGAAAAAGCCAATCTCGACACGGCACAACCCGAGATACGATTATCGTATGCCGAAACCAGCTCGAACTTCACCTCTGTCAAGCTTCATTCTTTCCAAGTATTAGCGTCTACATAAGCTTCCATTGAAACGTGATTTACGGGATGGAGGATGACATTGACGGCTTTATGAAAAATTCGAATTTTGACACATTTCCTTCCTTTTATATGACTGAACTTTCTGGTTGGCACAAGACCAGCGAACTTTAAAGTCAAAAAGTAATTGAGTGGGTAGTAAAACAAGTTAATGAGAAGTTCTAGGACTCAAATAAAGAGCCGTAGAAGTAGAAGTAGGTAAAGAGAAGAGAGTGAAGGTGGTGATAATTAAATATGATGATTTATATGTAATAAGCGAGATAGTATGATTGAGAACGGTGTCGGGATTGGACGGACGGGGCGAGGAGCGAATCTGCGCGGCAAAAGGCAACGGGTTTCAGTGCCCCCGTGTTTTTGCTTAAGTTCAAGACGGGGCGCGCGACACACACACAGAGAGCGCAGATTGAACTGATGCCACTCATCACAGCGAACGCGATTATGTGCGAGGGTAGCCGAGTCTGAACGGGGTAGGAACAAGACTAGAGAAAGAAGTGAAAGGACGTCCGATCAGCATGATGCCTTAGAGGGTATTAGGCAGCATAAGGGACCTGTACACATCCCAGATAAGATAAGATAGACGTCGATTAAAGCCCTGTAACAACTGACGTCAAGTCAGAAGGGACCCTTTGCTACAAGGGGTATTACCATTTGACTGCAAAAGGTGTCTATTACATTTTGCCTGAGAGAGAGAACGAATCGTCGTAAATCCAAGCTGTTAATCGAGATTGTTAATTGGATGGATTTAGCTGGTGTCTTCTAAGCCCACCAATGCACGTCCAGGGTCGGAAAGCGCCGAGGATTACGGAACGGCGATGAGATGCCTCAAAACGGATAAAGCACTGCATATGCATATTTGCCTGCTATTTGCTCGGCTATTTCCACACTCCCTCCATCGGTGGGGGGGGGGGGCGTGCTGCCCGCTTTTCACTGGTTTCAATACCACAGTTTTGATATGATTTTATGGAGTATCATAATGGCTATAATCCTTTATAGGTTTTTTTCTCCAAGTTTTAAGGAGGCGGGTGACTCCAAGAAGTAGCTTAGTTTCCGCTTTGCATGTGGCCTCAGACGGAAACCAAGAAGTTTGTGATATCCTCTTTTTGTGCTCAACAGTGAGGGGAAAAAAATTTAAATCTGGAAAATGTCCGATGGGAGTAAACGGACCAATATATGCACTCCCAGGATCCCATAGTATGTCTCCTGGACTTTTCCTTTTTCCTGGGATTTCTAAGGCTCATTGGGAACTCATCCATTGCCAAAACCATACTATCCGGCTGAAGTAGAAAACTTCAAGACGTACCGATAGTGTTCTACTGCGTAGTTAGAGATAAGGCGAGCCTTCAGATTTTCACCAGGAGTATTGAAAACAAGTGACGATTATGTACGGTAATAGCCATGGTGTGAGAGCGCTAATTAAGTGCGAGAGGGAAAGATGAGGTTGAGTGCAACATGTGGACGTTGAGAGGAAACATTTGTAGTCAGTTAAGGCTCAAAGTGGAGTCAAGTCTTGGTTAAGGGATGAATTCGATAACGCTGGAATGGATTGTTGAAAAAGCCGATGCGACGTGTGCCTGGCATAGGTGACGGCGGCGGATCGAATGATAGAGACTAAGGCGTGCGCTATCGTCCGTTATCTTTAGGTCAGACCGCCAAATCGGATCCCCGGCTAATAAACTAGGGAACAAACAGCGTTTGCCTTGATAAAGCGACGGATTGATACCAACTGGGGTAGGAATCACGGATCAATACCGCAGCTACAATATCGGCGGTCACACAAACCTTTAAAAGACGACGGGAAGATTTTTGTCTCATGTGGGATGTTTGACTTTCGCTTAACGGCACGTGGGTGGGTTCCCGCGGGGAAGAACAGCGCGTTAAGATATAGGAACAGGCGTTGTTCTGCACTTGTCACCTTTCTGTTACAGCAACAACAGGGGGGGGGATGACTTAATGGAAAACGTATTCATCTAAGTCCTGTTCAACGTTGCATGCCATCGGTCCCAACGCCAGCGTTAGGCTATTCATCCCGAATACCGAGCATCGCCAATGATTCATCATACCAAATTCAATACACAGATTTCATCCAAAAGCGAAATAGGACCTGGTCGAGAAAAAAGGCAGGGATTTGCTTCTCACTTGTAGCTGTTTAGGGTGTAGAGATAGGGGTGAATGGCGTCACATTTGGCGTCGTCATGTCGCCCTGACTCTTGTTGCTGTCGTGATATTCAAGAAAGAGACGGAAAAAAGGGGGAGAAAACGGAAGCGAGAGATTCATTAGGGAGACATCAGGAATGAATATTCGGCACTGTTTAGATCGATTTCTGCATTTTGTTCCATTCCATACGCACTGTGTTCGACACCAAAGAAACAACGCGCAAACCGTGAGGCGTTGACAACTTTCAATGATGTCGCGGCTGCAGTGAGATCAGCTTTTTCCAAAGGGATATCCGAAATATTGAGGTAGGAGGAGTGAGGTGAGGTACGAGGGAAATCGCCAAAAAGAAAAGAGTGGACTGGTATTGCACAAGCTCACAACTCTCGATGCCCTTCTTTCAAACGAAGAACGTTTTCTAACGACTTTTATTGGTCCCCGAAACAAGTTTGTGTTCCAGTGAGAGCGAAATTCGCGCGTGCGACCAACCGACCGATGGCTGCGGTTGCGACGACGACGACGACGACGGCGTCGATGCAGCGGCGGTAGTGGTTGCGGCAGCCGCTTTCTCCGCATTCGTTTGCGCTCGAGATTGCGCAACCTGCTGCTGGGGGCAGCGTAGTGTATGTGTGTGTCTGTGCGTGCGTGAAGTGGGAGATGGATAAGCCCGTACATGACAAGAAACGTGACGCTAACCAGACCACGCGCTAAAGGTTGCCGAAGAACTGGATTCAGTCGAGGAAATACATTAGCATAGCATGCGATGACCCTACGTCGGCGCGAGATCGAGCGCAATCTTAGCAGCGCGGAAGATTTGAACTTCAGCGTCAGCACTAGAACTGATTCTCGTTACAACTAAGTAACTCCAACCCTACTTCGAGCACAGCGGAGCCCACAGCATCGTTCCCTAGGGAAAAACGCCAACGACTTCAAAGTACGATTAAAGTCAGCCCCATGATGTACGAGTATTTTTTGCGCTTGATTAAGAATAGTAAGAGTACGCCATACTAACACAGTGAGCTGGAAGTGGTGTCTCGATGAAGAGAAAGGGATGAGAAGAACAAACGAGACGGACGGAACAACAGAGGCGCGACCGGCAGTAGTAGCAGCATCAGCCAGCGGCAGAGCGACACAGGCACGACCTTCAGGCTCTCACGATCACACAGGCCAATTTCTAAGCTAGAGCCATCGAGAATATCGTCATTAAGGAGTAAATCTATGATTGTCTGGCGTTGCCAATGCCGTCGTTGTCGTCACTCCGAATGATCTCGCGTGACCCTCGTGTCGTTGTGTTTTCATGGAGAAGAAAAGACGAGAAACGAATTCCCGAAAACATGTCTTCGCCTGTCATTGTTGCACGGGCGGAACAGTCTCACGGCCAAACGCGGCGCAGTGGTTAACCTCCATTGCTTATACGTCGGTTCCGGTTTTCTGTCCCTTGTGTAGCCCCGCCATCGGGACAACTATGTTGAACCTACTGGTAAACCACTGGTCTCTGCCGATGTCGTGGTCAATAGTTCGGGCACCAAGCTTGAACTGCATATTAGAACGTCTCCTTCTCGGACCGTCAGATAGTCATTACTTTCAGACAGCCCCACTTTATAAGTCACTGAGATGAGGAAAAGGCGGTAGACCATGAGGGGACTTTCTGCCGCTAGGGAAGATTTCTCGAAGTCACGACCCCTCTGCCATCCAGATTCCCTTCTTTGGTGCGACTCTTCCCCCGCTGTTCCCTCGCTGACTACTACCCTCCTAAGGTTTCCCAACGTCCCCGCTTTTTTCCAAGATTTTCCAAAACGTTTCCGGAATCCTTCCGTATCCCCGAAATTGCCGTCTAACGGGAGGAAGGAGGGGGGGGCTACAAGACACGATCTGCTGTTGGATGAGCTTTCTGCGAAATGCGAGCCCCTGCTCACTTTACGCCCCCCCCCTTCTATGCCCTTCCTACAACCATCTTTCTAAATCTTCCCGACTTCCTAGACATTTTCTGAAATTTTATTCAAAAATCCCTGCACTTTCTTCCAAAAATTTCCTGCAGCGATCGTAGGGAAGGATACACAGCCACTTGCTTGAACAAGAAACGAGAAAATTCCACAACGAAAAACTTTTTCACAGAGGCAAATACGACCCCCTCCTTCCAGCGACCAAATAAGACCTC